CTCTCTCTCTCTCTCTCTCTCTCTCTCTCTCTCTCTCTCTCTCTCTCTCTCTCTCTCTCTCAGTACTGGTTCCCGGAGCCCTTGCGGGTTAGTTCCTAAACACCATTTTCCGCCAACGTAGGAGTTGAATTTGTGAATATTTAGGAGATAATCGATTCTTCGACAACAGAGAAGAATCGAGCATCGATTTATTGATTATGCGTCGTCAACTTTGGTTGTTTTCCAGCAAGGAACATTGGCCGCATTCAGCGGAAAATACAGCTCAATAAGCGTTTAGTGATTATTGTCTGTGATTGGAGCATTCTTTTAGTCTCGATCTATAATTAAGTCGTAAGAAATTAACCAATTATAATTGATCATTCCTCTATAATTTGACTGTGACTCTATAATTTACTAGTTAATTTCTTAAGGCTTAAAGCTTACTACATTTATTGTAGATCAGGATTTAGATTCTTGATAGATCCAGAAGTATGTACCAATCAAGAATGATAATTACTAAACGCTCTTTCCGCTGAATGTAGCCATTGTGATACACAAAGTCATTTTATTAGCTACACATTATATAAAATATCTTCTGAGATAACAAATAGCCAATAAAATAGTTTTACGTACACAGTGTTCCTTGCTGAAAAATGGTTTTTACTACGTCAGACTAGAGTTATTCTAAGCAGAGTTTGGCCACGACTGTGCTGGATTTTCATCAAAATCCTACGAGAAAAAAGGATATATTTTCAATCTCTCTCTCTTTGTCTATTGCGTATTCATAGTCAGGCCTTATATTTAAGGGCTTCTTTGAGTTCATCTTTAGATGCTTTGTAGCCAATAAAATAATCCGTAGAGCATTTAAAGATAAACTTAAGAAGACCTTAAATATAAGGTCTGACTATGAATACGGGCATATCTCTCCTTAACCTAATTTGATCTACTATAGGAGTATACTATAATTGGATATTGTGTGCGATTTGATATAGCGAATAATTAAAAGTTGCTCTCTTTTGACCAAATTTTGCTTGAGATAACTCTATAGCAGACTAGCTGCTGAATAAAGATCATGTGCCAGGGATATTAGGTAATTGGAATTTTCCCTATATAAGAATCTGTGTGCATGCGCAAGCGACGTCACAGCTCGACTGCTTCCACAGCCGTATCTAGAGCCGGTATTCATAGGCTGCGTTCCGAAATTCACTGCCAGTACTGAAATTCTATAGTATATGTGACATGAACTATAGATTTTCAGTACTGGAAGTGAATTTCGGAACGCAGCCATAGTCGAATCTTATTTCAAGACCGTCTTAAGTAATGTCTTAAGATGCGAATACGGCTCTGTGATTGGTGATAACATCTTAAGACAGTATTTAAGATGATCTTAAATATAAGATCGGACTATGAATACCGACCTAGGTGCAATGCAGTAGATGCGTGTAAAGAGGCCCGTCATATAATATTTCGCTAGAGTTAGGCTAGTTCTACATTGATTGCGTTCAGCAGAGAAAGCTGTTTTGCAACTGTTGTAAAATTCATGAATCTGATTGGAGCATGCTTTTAATTTTGGTTGAATCCAAGAACATGCACCAATCAGATTCACGAATTTTACAACAGTGCAAAATAGCTTTTTTTGCTGAACGCAACCATTAGTTAAACCGCAAAGTCGCAAGAAAATTGACCAATCACAGTTGATGGTTCTCCTTGCGACCAAAGAAAAATCGACAGTGATGGGTCAATTGGTATTGGTTTGTATTCATGTCATTGAAATCGACTGTAGACGTAAAACATAAAAAACAAATAAACTTCCTTATTATTATTAATATTAACTTCTATTTCTTTGATATAAATTTTCTTTGTTCTCTTCTTGCAGCTTTCTTTACATTTTTTTTATCACTGGGGCCTAATGATACCTTAAATTTGACTGAAATATATACGTTAGTGAGGATACTTCATGCGCACGCGCAACTTTATTCCTGCGACCTGACGTCACTCCCATGTGCTGGATCTTTCTCAATCTATCGCAATATGCGTATAGAAACGTGTTATTTTTGTTCGTCCCGGATATATCCGGGACACGGAATTCAACTTGTGAGAAATGATTGCAAGGTGAGTATTATTGATAATTTAATATATACAAATAATAGATTTAACATATACAAATGGTAAATTTGAGATACTTGGAAAAAATTGTCACGTGCACAAGTCATCTGCACTGTTGGAGGTTATGTAGCTTGTAAACATTCGACTTGTCGTTATTTAGCTCGTCGTTTCTGGCGACTCGTGATTATTTTTATCGAATTTTTTCACCTCAGATCAAGTAATTACGTTTCTGTGAATGATATGGGTTACAGATATTCAAGTTCTGCCGTTCAAAGTGTCACGCCGCGTACAAGAAGAAGAAGAACCCCAGGAAAGTCAAATGGACCAAATCCTACAGGAAAACCTTCGGCAAGGAATTGGCGGTGGACCCATCGTTCGAATTCGAGAAGAGGAGAAACGTCCCTGTCAAATACAACAGAGAATTGTGGACTAAGACAGTAGAGGCGATAAAGAAAGTAGAAACCATCAAGCAGAAGCGACAGAATCTGCACATCATGCAACGATTGCGCAAGGGAAGGGAATTAGAACAGGAGATAGACATTAAGGAAGTGCAACGCGATTTGTCTCTGATTCGTTCCCCAGCAATTGGTCTCAAGAACAGGATGGAACAGGAAGAGGCGGTTGAGGAACACGAACAAATGGAGGCATCTAACGATGAGTGTGAAGTTGAAGAATTAGAAGCAAATTAAACTGTCACTTGAACTTTTGTGATGTTTCCCCATTTTTCACAAATTATTTCCAGTATTTGATACAAATCAAGGTCTCTCCATTTTTCATTAATTATTTTCAGTATATAGAAACACATTGAAATATTTTCTGTAAATTATCCATAGTAACACACACACACACACACACATAGATACAAATGCAGATATCAGTTTTTTATGAACACAAACTAGAATTTTTTTTAATGTTTGTACATATAATAAAAGAAAAATTGTTAATGTGAAATTTTTCCTTGAAAAAAAATAGGTATTAAGAAAGCTTGTAATAAAGTCTAATCTATTATGAAAGCTTGTATTAAAAGTTATATTAAATATTTACTACTTAATTATACTTTTCTTTTGTCGTCTTTTTAGTGCCAAATCTAAAACTTTCGCAAAATTAAATTCCTCGCATGATAATTCTCTTGTGATATCTAGTTTTCTTCTGTATCGACCAAACTCGTGCTATATAATTCGTAAGACTTCCTACGGATGGAGTCACCAGGAAACCATCATGGGTAAATTGAGCATACGATCCATTAGACGCTACAAACGCTTTGAAGTGTTTAAAGCCCGTATCAGACTACGGATTAAGATTGAATTGAAAATTGGCCAATCAGAGCAAAGTTCACCAAACTTGAGCTTAGTGAATTTTCGTTCTGATTAGCTAAATTTCAATTCAATCTCAATCCTAATCTATAGTCTGATACGGGCTTTAGGGCTATCACACAATTTTTAACCATAACCGTAATTCCGTAAAAAAATTAACCAACCACAATCGATTATTATAATATCACAAGAGAAAAGGTCGACTGTAATTGGTTAAATTTCTTACGGAATTACAGTTAAAAATTTTGTACGTGTGATCGCCTTAAAGAAAAGATTGATCCATGCGGCGCTTTAAAGCTATTTGCAGCGTCTAATGGATCCTATCCTGAAACGTCAGCATGCATCGTATACACTATCGGCAAATATTTACCCATTATTCCCACTATGGGCGTCTACGTATTTTGTAAAGGGCATACCGACTATACAATATTCCCGTCATCGGGGACAGTTGTAATAAGAATAAATAATGTTCTGCCATTATCACAATTGTACAATGGGCGTGCATTAATGCGTTCGCCAGTGTCCGCGTTCCAAGATTTTGACATCAATCATTTGTATTGTGTATGAGCAGTGAATTCTCTTCCAAGTTTCACTATGCGTCAAATACACGATTATGAATCCGATAATGCACAGCTAATTCCGCATACCGCTCGAGCGACTCGAACAATACGCGAGATTCATCGCGCAATATAGAGAATGCTTGTTCTTACGAATAAAGGAGTACAATTCCATCACGTGAAAAATGAAGTCAGTTTATACAACGGATTACATAGCTCAGCATTATCACACGTGCAGAATTCGAATTATATCATGTAATATTTAATTTTAGTTAGTTTTCGAGCTTGAAAGAGATAAGTAACGATAAATTGGACTTATTAAATATAATTGATTAAATTTATTGATATACTGTGTGAAGAAAGAAACATCTAAAAAGTAAAAAATATTTATTCGATGGGTATTAACGACATATTTCCTTAAATCTAAATTCTTTTATTTAGATCGAATAAACAATTGCTTTCATGAAAAGTTAAGGTTTCAAAAAAATGCACTGAAAGAAAAAAATGTTTGATATAACTAAAATTATAGATGGTGTTGTCCCCAGTCATATTTTTTGGTTGTTCTAGCATGAAAACACTAATAGTAATGTACATATAAAGTTATTGTCGCTAAAATTATAGTAGAATCTAATAAACTGATTTTTTTCACTATGGTCTATAATAATTATTTCTGTGTATGTCTGTGTTATAGTTACAAATATATCAAACATTCTTTCTCAGTGTGTGTATCTCTTATTTGAAAAATATTTTATAGTAGTATAAGTAAATATATATATGTTATTTTAATATCATCAATATGTGTTATAATATTCATCGAATATAAATGTTTTATTTCTTGGATATTTTTATCTTTCAGTGTACATTCTGTAAAATCAAGCCTCCGAAATTTCTCGTAGAGAGAAGATCATCATGAAAATATCTCGGACGCTACCGTGTATTTCGGGCTCACTGCTTCACTTCGTGACAAGACACGAAGAAGAAGAAGAGCTTTCATAGGACCCGCACTACGAGGTGTGACCGCACCTCGATGACACTGTAAACACTCGCAAGGTGTTTCCAGCAATTACCAGGCAAACCGCGGCGCGATGTTTGCCCGCGCGAACGAAATGCCTCGTAAGACGCGGCCGAAAGGAGCACCGGCCGGTGCCGAGGTACACTCGTGTTACGCGACGAAAAAAAAATATTTTCACGGGCGTGAGCTTGCAGATTTCGTGGGGGACGCGCCGCGACCGATCGCTTCGACGAACCCGACCTTTGAGCTTCGCCGACGACGTCGGGATCGGGTCGGCTCACTAAATCACCCGGTAACGCGATGCGACGATCAGTTTCCGATCATCTAACAAAGTGTTCCCTTTCTTGCGTTGAGAACGTATAATTCGGCGCTCAGGAATTTCTGACGATCAAACCGTTCAAACAATTCGTGTCAGACGGAAAACAAATTTAAAAAGAATAAAAATCAGAAAGAAAAAAGATAACATACTAAGAGAAATTATCCAATAAAAAATTAACAAACGGGTATTTTCGATCAAAATACCAATGAATTTCGATCAGGAAACATTCGATGAGAAATATCGGTTCATAATTTTTTGATTGGTTTATTTGATGAAATACCATTATATAATCGGAATATCTGATAAAATTTAATCGGATATCCTGATCGAATATAAAAGTTGACCGAAATATGATCGGAAATATCCGTTTGTTAATTTTTTATCGGATAATTTCTCTCAGTGCAGAAATTATTTTTCACTCGCGGACTTTTTTTAAAATTCCTGCACACAGCAAGTATCATTCTATTGTAAAAAAAAACGGCTACTCCGTTTACTTTTGTTCTTTCAAGTAGTAGTCACCTTTAGGAAAGAATATTTTTTCTTGATAATAGTCTTAAATTATACTCATGAGAAATTTTAGAAGAACTTATATATATATATATATATATATATATAT